TTAACTTAGAGTTTGTTTTGGCAATTGCATCCGTTTGAAGAAGTAACCATGAAGTTGTTAAAGAAGAAACTGCTATTCAAAAAGTTGTGGTGGCTATTATAATTTTTTTCAAAAAGTCAAATCACAGCTTTCTAGCAAATTCTCTTTCTCTTTGTTGCTATGTCTTTTCCTTGCCTGCAGGCTCAAAAGTGCTCGCTCGATCATCAATAACACTCTCTCTCCAAATGATTGGATCTTTCTCCTTTCTTTCTTCATGCACACGACACACTCAAAACTCACCAAAAAGATTCTTGCAAATCGTTGCTTGCTTCTAGGCTTGCAGACTCTCGGTTGAGCGTCTCTTGACCACGAAAAAACCTGCATGAATATGGAATCATTGATGATGCGTGAGGAAGGCTCATGTGAGCTGCTTGAATCATTTGACAAGGGTTCATGTTCACGACGGCATCACTCACACGATTGAAGGAAGCACCACTCACACTTTCTTCTCTTTTGTCTCGCCTCACACAACCACACTATGCCGCTTCTCCTTCTCTTCCTCACCCTCCCACTTTGGCTTGCTCTTTCTTTCTCATTTGTTTCATTTGAATTAGAAGGAAAAAGGAGATTAGCCCTTGGATAAAGGCTGCGGGCGGTAGGGCTTCTCTTTGAATGAAACCAACAGAGCAAGTGTCAAGAGCATTTGATTTTATTTTTTTTAATAGTTAAATTACTTGAAGATTTGAAAAGTTTATCATTACACCAATACCTCAGGACGACATGAAAAAGGTAGGAAATATTACTTCAAAAAAACAAAAAAAAAAGAGAATATTGAGCGCCTTGGACACAACCCATTTGGGTTATTTTTGAAGTAGTGTTTTTTTTTTCAATTGGATTCTATATGTTTTTTTCCATAGAGCAATATGCATAAATGCCCTTAAACCCTGTAATTGTTTTGGTGGGATGGATTTCATAAGTTGCATTGCCTATGCATCGCAACAAAAATGCTTTTATTGGTGTAGTGTGATGACCCACCTCCTCTGCCCTTCGCACGGGTGGTAAAAACACATTTTCAAAGTTTTCTCAAGAATGAAAGCATAGGGAAAAAATGTGATCCTTAGTGCAAGTTTGTGCGAAAATAATATGGGGATTTCATTGAAAAACTTGCAACTAAAAATTGTTAATTTAAAGATTTGCATAGTTTTCGAGAAAACTTGTTACCAATGCATACACATATGAGCTAACTTGTTAAGTGAGAATGAAGTAGTAATTTTAACTTGTAAAAAGTGTTTATCATGTGGTGTGCAAAATATTACATTGTGAAGCATTCAGGGCATTGTATAAAAATATACAAGGTTAGAAAAAAAAAAGAACACTGGTACATAGGTGAAATCTCCATCCTTAATAAAGAGGCAATACTTTTGAGCTAAAAGTAACTTGAGAATATGAAAAACACATCTTTCATTGAGACTTCTGATAAAACAAGTTGCATTTTATATCAAGACATACATGCTAGTTGATGCAAATGCTGCAAATGTTTAATTAATATAAGTTCTAGTGCCTTTTGAGATGAACAAAATCATATTTTCATTCAAACGTTTGTTTTCATTAGACTTGAAAGAATTTAAGTCATTGAGTTGAACTCAACTGAGATGTGTGGAATGAGGCACTTGCATTATATGAATTGGAAAAATTTTTAAATACAAAAATATCAATAAAAATTAAGAAGATATAAGAAAACGAAAGAAAATTTCTAACAAATAATAAGGATGCAAGATACAAAAAATGGCAATATTGGGAAATAAAGAAGGAATTAAAACAAAATTACAAATCTTGAATGCTTCACAAAATTCTATGATAATTTCAAAAGCTATATTTAGAAATCCAAATCTTGGGGTTTTATCAAACCATGAAAAATTATATTTCTCACATAATACAAATTTTTATGTATATCAAGAGAAATGCATGTTCCATTTATAAGCTAATGCTTTACGTTGAAAGGGCAGAGTAACAAAAGTTTTTTATAGTGGAGTAGCGTTCAGTAATTTAATCAGGAATTACACTAAGATGCTTAGAAATGCATTTACTTAAGACCTTTTTGACTTTTTTATGGTAAAAAATTATCTAACCAGAAAACTTTATGGGTTGCCCTGCCTATGGACATCCTCAAAAACCTTGGATCTTTTCATAATCGGAGTTCTAAGTCCCCACATTAAGGTTGGATCCTCTACACATGAAGTGCTGAGTTGATAGGACCCTAAGCGTAATAGATTCTTGAAGTTTGATCTTCCACATGCAAATGATAGAGTTGGCAAAGGCAATGCAATAACCGTCCATGACCCGATCTCTTACATATGAAGTGTAGAGATGACATTGTTTATAGCTCAATAATTATTGAAAGCATGATCATTTATATAGAAAATGTAGAGTTGGTAATGCCCATAACCTAGCAATTTCTAAAGTTTAATGCCATATACATAAATGATGGAGTTGACCTTGGCTAAATGGAGAAGAAACTAGTATTATTCTAAGACAAGGAATGTAAGCTTATAGATTTGATTTTAATTAATGGTGCAAATTTTGAAGAATGTCTTATTCGATAAAAGAAACTTATAAGCAATTGATGAGTTTGAAGACCCACTGTAACTATACAAGTTTTTTTTTTCTCTCTCTATGCCCTAACATGCTTATGTATTATAAAATTGAGCTGATCAAACTCAACCCTTCGGTTGCTATGAATGATGGAACCATAAAATCTAAATTAGGGTTGTTGTGGATTCATTTTATAATTCGCACTAGCCAAGACAGCAAATTTCTTTAATAAAAAATTAATATTGTTGTTACTATATGCCAAGTACTTAGCATTTACTGTCTAACATTACTTCAAATTATTTCGGGTGATCTTGAAAAGTAATTAACTAAATGGGCTTATACCTATGAGAAACTTGGCGATGAATCATAAAGCCCTTGCAAAATAGGGCAAAATCTTTAGGTAGTGTGTATTCTAAAATTTTATTTGCCTTTTAAAAAATTGATTTGAAATAACTGCACTCTCTTCATGATCAGAGTGTGAACTTTCAGAACTCATAAATTTCTACATGTTCTGCTGGGGAAAATCTTTCTTTTCATTATTTATTAGTCATTTTCTTATAATAGCAGCCAAATAAAAATATAATCAAAAGTAAAAAATTTTATTCAATCATTGCCATTTTTAAACTTTTATATTTCTTGTGATAATGAGAAATGCTTAATTGATTTTTCTTACGAGCTTTCAAGCATTATAATTTGTAAATATTATATGTTTTTTATCTTTCTGCATTGTAAAGGTGTGGTGTGACATCAATTGTTAATAATTGGTCCTCACATTTTATTTATGTAAAATAATTCTACAAAACACTCCTTTCATTATGTAGTTAGGATGTGGAGCCACCATTTGCTTGGCTAATACTAATAATCAATACTAGAGAGATTGGAGCTTCTGTTTAGTTTAGTGGTTTGTAGATTCCTGCTATCGATGTTAGAGCCACCGTTATACTTGTCTAAGGCTAGATTACGAGATCCTAATCTGTCGAAGAACCTAAGCGTTGAGCTTAATGACTTCATCAGAAAATAACTAATGAAATTGCCACCGCTAATAGAGCTCCTCAAAAAAGAATCTCTATTTTGAAAGACAGACTTATTTAAGAAGACCCATTAATGAAGAGGGCTGTGAAGAGGGCTGCTGCTACGCAAAGTCTCCCTTTTTCCCTTTTGCTTGTGAACACTAATATAATGCCAACTGAATTCTTTGCACTTAGGAGGCATGTTGCTGAAGCTTACTTAGCTGAAGGAAATTGTCCATTTGATAAAATATGAGTTCCAATGTTGAGCTGCGAATCGTGTAGTTACAGTTTTAGCAAACCATAACACCTCAACGCACTGACTAGGTGGTGACCATCCCCTCAGAAAGATGCTAAGTGAAATAGTTTTATTGGCAAATTAAAGCAATCATTCTGGGTCTATCAATAACATTGAATTCTTGCTTTTGAAAAGAAAGAACCTGAAATCTTTTCATCTAGAGTACATCAAATTTGTTAAGTTATGAAGGAAAAAGGTAGTATTGAAGAAATTTGAATGGTTGTGATTGAGGCTAGGAGAGCTTCACCAAGCAAGGTATGATCTATTGTAATATCCTAAGATGGATCAAAGTAAGCTCCACTAGATGAATTTCTGTGAATGACACTTAAGGTCTCAAAGCCAAAAGTCAATTGCGGAAAGGTTCTAATGGAAAGAAAAATAAGACAAGATGCTAAAGTTAAGTGAAAAAATCTATAATGAGAAATTCTGTAGTGTGAGTGGGTTATGACTCCTGTGATGGTCGACCTCATAGGGAATTTTCTAAGAGTTAACGATTCAAGACAATTTCAACCTCCTATGATGAAGTTAATTAGTTTTCCAGTCTCCCCATAAAAAAATGTTTATACCTCACAGAGGGCTGGAAGTTCAATTGTAGTTTCGCTCGAAGATCCAAGTGCGAAAAAATGAGCTAGAATGAATCATAAATCGAAGTTGTTTATATGGTAGAACATATCGACTAATAGTTTGATATGTACTTTTACAACCTTAGATTATGTGGAGTTTTATCTATTGTTCCTCCTGAACGATGAAAAGAAAGATAAAATGAAGAACTAATACTCATTGATGCTATTATTCTAGTTTTAGCATAAAAATAAGCATCAAAAGGAAGCATAATATTAAGAAATCTTCAAAATAGCCATAATAATGTGCAAAATGTTGGCGAAGGTGAAGCCAATTTTACAAAAGATCCGGAAGAATGTCATTGCAATCACTGCACCTGTTTCACTTTATACTCGAGTATTCAACAGTTCTCTGATCTGTAGTCTGTTCCCACATGTATTGGTTATTCATACATCCTTTATTTTCTGTTTTGTTTGTATGTTTTATTTTTTGCTAAATAATTTGGGTGATATCACGTGTTCCTTTTCATTTATTAAATACCTAATTTTTACTTATTTTCCCAGGGCGTTCTAATCAGTTGAATTATATAAAATGCATCAATAGCCTTGAGAATTTACTTGATGCAAAGGTTTGTATTTAAATTTCTACACTTGAACTTATTTTAACTGTCAACACATTAATGTTTTGTTTCTCTTTTGCACAGGTGTATTCTGTTGATGACAATCCTGAACTTGAAAGTGTTATTGCATCCCCAGATGTAAAAATTTACTTTTATGGTCCCGTTGATCATTCTGAATCAACTCTTATCTCGAGTTATTGCAAAAAGTTAGATGTGCTAAAACATCAGGTGGTTCTCCCGATGATTTAATACATTAAAAGGAGCATTTATTGTGAATACTTTTTTATTATTCTTTTGTGCTAATTTGTGCAGAGTACTTGCTTGTTGTGGGAAAACATTAGCGATTCTATTGAGAGGCGCAAGAAGATAAAGTCAATTATGCGAATGCATGATAATTTAGTTTTTTGTTTGAAAAATGTCGGGCTTTATGGAGCTATACAAGTGAGTTGATGTGAATTATATTTTGTCTCGTTTTATTATCTATTTATTGTTGTGCTTAGCAATGCTTAGGAATGAGAATGATGTCATTGATTATTTGGAAACTTGTGTACTTGATGAAGTCTGTAACAAACACATTATTTTATAAACATTTGCCATAGTTTCTGGGTTCTAGAGATACTATTAAGAGCTCTTGGTTGTAAAATGATTGGATCGCATCCTATTTGCCATATGCTTAAGCTTCTTCCATGTAGCTCATCTTCAATTTCATTATGTTTATTTAAATCAACTTTGGTCTACATGCAGATTCTTCTCTATTCATTAATGTCAATGCTACGTAGGTTGCGCCTCTATTTTACACATCTAGCAATTTTACGTACATGCTTCCTTTTCATATCTTCTTCATTTGTTACATGTTCTTATCATGCCATGGAATATTACAAAATGTGCATCTTTGCTTAATAGCTTTCTTTGGCAATGACATTTACAACTCTTGAAATATCTTGCTCTCCTATGCCTCATCTTTTCCATTAATTGTTAACATCATAACTGTTGAAATAATCCTATATCTATGAGTAATACGTTTCCATCTAAAATAATCTAACAATTTGCCAACAATAATTTTCCTTATGCAAAAATTTGATAATCTGAAGCAAGTATAGAACAATACAACAATTCTGGAACAATTGACTTTTTTTTTTTGTTTTGTGGTTAATTCCAGCTTCAAAAATTAAAAATTTGTTTCTAGATTTTTCTTTCTGAGATAGTTATTTGAACATTTATTTATGTGCATTGCCGGGTCACAAGCCCCTGATGCGAAAACTGAAAAGTTGTGTAAGGTAATTTACAACTAACATAAAATTTGTCAAAAATTCATGACATGAATGCTAGGGCGTTCCTTGGAATCGACACGCTGTATGACCTGAATACTATAATAAGTGTGCAAGGGCTTTTACACTGATGCCCGGATGTAGTGTCAAATAAGCCAGAGTTCCTACATTATGGACGGATGCGAGCAAAAATGTTAGTCCATAAAATTAATATTAGGATAAGATTTTTGAATATAAGTACTCTCACAGGTAAATTAATCAAATTAGTATGTATTATGATTCATAGAATGATAAATATCTTATGCTTTAAAGAAACTAAATGGGTTGGAGAAAATATAAGGAGATTAATAGCTTATATTTTAAACTCTGGTATCAGATAAGAGTTATACCAAAAATGGTGTAGATGTAATTCTAGATAAGAATTTGAAAGATAATGAATGCTCTAAAATTAGTAGAATTGGAGATAGAATTATAGCCATAAGGATTATTGTCGATACTTAGATCTTTATTGTCTTAAGTGGTTATGCTCCTTAAGTAGGTTTAGATATAGGGTCAAATGAAAAATTTTGGATTGCCCTAAAAGAATTAATACAATTGATGCATGTTGAAGAAATAATTTTTGTTGGAGAAGATTTAAATGAACATGTTGGCAGAATGATAGAAGATTTTAGAAATATTCATGGTGATTATGGTTTTGGAGTGATTAATGAAATAAGTAGAACCATATTGGATTTTACCTTATTTTACAATTTTGTCATTGCTAATAATATATTTTAAAATAGAGATGAACATATTATTAATTGTAAGAAACGATATAATACAACACATTGATTTTTTTTTAATGGGAAAAAAAGATTGTCCAAACTATAAAGATCGTAAGATCATTTTAAGTGAAAATTAGTACTCAACGCTGATTATTAGTTTTATATTTTAAGATGAATTAAAAGATAAAAATACAATAGAACATTATCATAAAATTAAATGGGGGCACCTAAAAGATATGAATAAAATTCTTTTTTATTAGTAAAATTCTAGATTTTAAGATTTGAAATGTTCTTAAAGAAGTTAATTATATGCGGGGTAAAGTAACAAGCACTATTAAACAAGTCACAAAAGTTGTATTTGGAGAATCCAAATGTAAAATTTTTACAAATAAAAATAGTTGGTGGTAGAAGAATAATGCACAAGAAATTATAAAATATGAGAAATTTTGTTATTAAAATTGGTTTAGATGTAAGAGTTTAAAGAACTGGGAAAATATAAGGCGGCCCGCAGGGAGTCTAAGCGAACAATTTGTGACGTTAAAACTTTTTCTTTTAGTGATCTTTATAATAGATTAGATACTAAAAAGGGTAAAAAATATATGTATAAACTGACCAAACAAAGAGTAAATTAAAGATTTAATTCATGTGAAATGTATTAAAGGTGAAAAAAAAACGTTTTTCTTAGAGGAAAATATTTAACATTAGTGCGTGAAATATATTGATAAACCTTTCAATTAAATTTTTTAATGTACGATCAACTTTAGTGATCTTAATATTTTAGTAATAATAAAACTTTTTTTTTCACATTCACATTAGTAAAAGGAAAGTTGAGGAAGCTTTAAAAAAACCCAATAGTGGAAAAATAATAGAACCTGATTATGTTCCAATTGAAGTGTGGAAATATTTAAGAGATTTGTGAGCTTCTTGACTAACTTAAGTTTTTAATATTATTTTAAAACTTAAAAAGATCCCTGGGAAGTGGAGAAAGAGTATTTTGGTCATCATTTTTAAGAATAAAGAGGATGCATAAGTATATGCAAATTATAGAAGAATTAAATTAACGTGTCATGCATTAAATTATGGAAGAGTAATTGAACATAACTTAAGTCGTGATACAAAGATTTCTCATAATCAGCTTGGATTTATTCTGGACAAGCCTACTATGGAAGCTTTACATTTATTGACAACTTTGATGAAGAAGTATTGAGAGAGTAAGGAGGATCTACATATGTTTTTTATTGATTTAGAAAAACGTTATGATAAGGTTCCAAGATAAGTTATTTGGAGAGTTCTAGAAAAAATATTGATACAACTTATATTTAAGTCATTAAAGATTTGTATTCTAAAGCTATTAGTTGTGCTCGAAAGGATGATTGACCAAGTATTTTCCTATTTCAGTTAGATTACATCAACGATAGGCATTAAGCCCTTGTTTTTTTGCTTTAGTTATGGATGCTCTTACTGGACATTTACCTGAGGACGTACTTTTGTGTATGCTTTTCACTGATGATATCCTTCTTGTGGATAAGACTAGAGAAAAAATATAGGGAATACTTGAATTATTGCGGTCTACATTGGAATCTAAAGGCCTTCCTTTGAGTAGATCTAGAACGGAATACATGGAATGTTATTTTAATAGTAGATCTTGTGGCACAATTGTAATTATGGATGATCAAGCCATTAAAAGGGTGTGAATGTTTTAGATATCTCGGGTCTATTGTTCAAAGTGATGGTGATATAGATGGGGATATTATTAGTAGAATTCAAGTTGGATGGTTGAATTGGAGGAATGCATCTGGCCTATTGTGTGATAAAAAAGTACCGCTTACACTTAAAGGAAAATTTTATAATATGGTGGTGAGATTTGCAATGCTTTATGGCGTAGAATGTTGGTCTTTAAAAGAGAAGCATAAAACTAAGTTAAGTGTTGCTGAAATAAGAATGCTTAGGTGGATGAGTGGTTTGACACTTAGAGATAAAATGTGAGATAAAATGTAAAATTAGTGTATCCATGAAAGGGTTGATATAGTTCCAGTGGCAGACAAGATTAGAGAGTCATCTTAGATTGTTTGTTCACATTAAATGTCGACCATCTGATGATCCGGTTAGAAGAGTAGATGTTTTAGATTTTATTTATGTTAAGAAAGGTAGAGGTACATCTAAAAAGATTTGGGTATATTGTATAAAAGTGGATCTTACTATATTAGATTTTAAATGAAATATGACACTCAACACGATACTATGGTGAAAAAGGATTCATGTGGCCGACTTCACTTACTGGGATAAAAACTAGTTGTTTGTTGTTGTATTTCTTTATGTACAACCTTTTTATTCCTTCTTGAGATAGGATAAGTGTAATAAAAATTCAATATAAAATCACTTATACATGGAGTCTCCTTGAACCCTAAGTTGTCGTTCACCAGTACTAGGCCTAATCTTTTGTTCAATAAAAGTGACAAATACGTATATGAATGATCCTCTTAGAATGAAGATGTTGGAAAATATTATAAAGAAGCCAATTATCAAGAGGTTGACAAAGCTAACATTGAAAATAACCTTAAAGTAGAAATTTAGATTCAAAGCATGCAAATTTTATGATAGAATATTGGAGAAAATATTTTTTTAAGCGAAATAGTTATAATGACAAATCACAACAACTGGATTCTCGATTTGCTACTTGTTGCATTTGTCACAGACGAATGTGGACATGCCTATACCACTTCGCATGCTTGGTTGGTTGTATTTAATAGGTGTGCTAGCTTAGAAAATAGATTATGGATGAAGTCTATTGCATGTTGGATATCCCTAAATGGTGGCACCCCACTATGTTTGTTGTTGATCAGGACACTCTAAAGCTCTCCCAATAGGGCCTAATCTGTGTCTTGTATCAACTACTTAGATTGTCTAACTTCTAGGACCACCAATTTAGTCCTATTTGTGCTTTCATTAAGACCCACAAAAAGGTAGCTCGTGGTACTATTGTCTCAGGATCTATAGGAACACCATTTACATCATATTTTTTCCAAGGTAAGAGTATGATGTGCTTCCCATCCTTGATATGTGTTATTATAGCCATCATGTGTGTATAACGGTTGTTCTGCAATTGACGGCCTAATAGAATTGACAATCATCCATGGATACCATTTTACACCATATCTGCTCCTAGAACTTTTCTCCAATAGATAATTTCACAAGACATCTTCTGTTAACTGTGTTGTTTTCCCTTTTTCAATCAAGAGAGTAAGATCGGGTGTACTTTTGTATTTCAGTGATCAACCTATCGATTGTCCTAGTAGACATCACATTCTAACCACTATCTACATTCATGATGAGATTGCATACATTTTCCTTCATGAAATAACATGTCTGAAAAATTTTGTGGCGTTGTCATTGTTGTTCTCTCGTTGTC